TTGCCTAGCCATTTTCTCAAACCTCTCATGTCTTTTAGGAGTGGCAGACCAATATGCAACACTATCACGCACTTTATCAATTCCCTTCTCCATAACACTCATTCCATCTTTTACAGAGGGGTAACTTGCCTTCAATAGCAGCCTTATTCTTTGCAAGATCATCACCTTTAGTGCCAATCATAGTCTTCATGACATTATCATTGACACTACAATTGTCAAGTGTTATAGTGGAAAGATTCCTCTCAATATGCCAATCCAAGAGAACTTCATGAAGGACCTCTACTACAACCTCAGTTGTATGTGGTGCTGGAACATAAATGAACCTACAACAATAAAATATAATAAGTGATTGTGTTGGACAGATTGCTCTCGATAGACAATGCATAACATAAAAACACAAAATGATGAGATTTTATTATTACCTAATAAGAAAACTTTTTAGCTTCCAATCATCATCAAGAAAATGGGCTGTAACTGCCATGTAACCCTTCCTCTGGTGGTTTGATGTCCACAAGTCCGTAGTAACAGCAACACGAGAACTCAATTTCTTGATATAGTTCACCATACATTGCTTTTGCACTTGATACATGTCAAAGATATCCTTTCTAATTGTGTTTCTAGACACCAACTTGAACGCTGGCTGCAATGCAGCACAAAACCTTCTAAATCCTCCATGGTCTACCATAGAAAGAGGATACTCATGGACAATAATCATCAAAGCAAGTTCTTTCTTAGCAACATCTGGATCAAACACATACTTCTCCAATGTGGCAGTGCCATCCTTTGAGTTTGCATTTAATTTAATAGTAGACTGGGTTAAACCTTTTCTACAAGCTCTAGAGTCACATATAGCACTGTGATTCTTCAAGTGAGTTGTACCATTTCTAGTCTCCCCAGCTAAATGTTTTTTACACCATTTGCAAATAGCTTTCCAAACCCCATTTACTTGAGTCAATTTATAGTCTTTCCATACTGGAGATCTTAGCTTCCTCTTACAGCCAACAGGGGCATCATCTTCTACCTGTATCACATCAATGTTACCTGATCCAGTCACAGGTGCTGCTGTACTCGATGGCGGTGTTGCCGAACCAGATGCAAGACGTGGACGAGTTGGAGGACGAGAACCCACAGATTGAAATATAGTAACAGCTTGAGATCCACTAGTATCAGGAGGAGTCGACATTGTTCAAACCCTAACAAATGAGAAGACTGAATAAATGGACAGAAAAAATAGCATAGCAGCTTTGA